GGGAAATCCGCATTGTCAGAATTTCAAAACATTCATTAGTGTATAACACATTCACTTTGTTTAGTATTATTAATTATTCTTTTTAGCATGGAATATTTATTTATATTTACATATTTTGCATTTTAATGGAAAATGACAAATTACATTCTGCTTCATCTCCACATCATGCTTATTACAGCCAGCTGTTCAATTCCTAATTAGCCTCCTTGTATGATATAGGATTACATTGTGGTGTGTTGAATAGGGCTTTAATTGTTTCAAATGAAGAAAATTTCTATGGATTTAATTATGCGGCTATTGCAAGCAGTAACCAGTCTCTGCTCACATTATTCGTCTGTGGCTCCTTCCAAGCCGTCGCACGGCAGGGTGTAAACATGACAGGCCAGGTAGCACTCTCGTTCTCCGCCATGCCTTGGACTGCCATTGACCCACAAACATCTGCCCAGCCTCTCCGCCTCCAGGTGTTCATAACCAGTGATCAAGTTGGAAAAATATTTCATGGGGGATAGTGGGGGGGAGGTCACGATAAAATCTGCTGAGTGGATTGCTGATGACAACATTTAGATTAATGCAGTCTGGATTAAATATTGTTTTGGTCCAGTTGGGAGTCCACCAGTTGAGTATCCATGATATAAGGGGTATATTAATCTTTACGCGAGTGAAATTACACAGAAGACTTTAGGGGGGGTGGTATATTTTCAAAGGCAATGATTTTTGTCATTTCTTTTAACAGGAGGGATGGTGTCCACGCCAATCCCATGGCAACTCGAACCCTGACCGTAACTAGGGAGCTTCCCATAGCTGTCGTCAAGACATTCTGAAATATCACCCCGACATTCTGGATCTACACCGCTTTAAATGTGGAGCTGAACCCAGGGAATGAGCTTCATCACAAGACAGACGGCACAGTTCCAAGCCCCCATATTCCCTGCTGGAGCTCATCACCCCCCCATAACATTTTCTATATGTCATTTCTACTCTGGTTTATCTGAACTGCACCAATATCGAACCTTTAAACTTATGAAATGAAATGCAGATGATTCAGTATGATCTCTGCCCCTCCCTGTCTACGTCCATTGGGATACTTATTAAATCCCACAATTAATCAGATCATTTTTGCCCCCACTGTTGCCAAGAGACAAGGTTTACACTTCTGATGTTTTAATTACAGAAGGTGAGGAGGAAGGCAAAGTGAAAGCAGGAGTTGGTGAATTAAACTGAAATCCACAAGCTGCTAAATCAAATTGTTTAAACTCACTTAGCGCCTAATTAATCCGACACACTCACTTTACCCATTAGGTTATTCATTAATTAAGCGCACAGGAAAGGGAGTGATTTACATATTGTTCTAGTAGTTAGACTGAGGCTTTAGGTAACTCCTGGAATTTGTACACAGACTCACACCTCAGGAGCAGAAAATAACGTACATGAACTTGAATTCAACCTGCAGGCTTTTGGCTGAAATGCCTAATGTAACACTTAAAGCTCAAATTACAAAATTCCAGAACTTAGCCTGACCTTCCATCTCTATAAATGGGGGGAGGGCAAGAAAAGTGGCAAGACATCACTCTGGGAAAAAATGTTGACTAAAAAGCTGAATAGAGCTAGTTAGGCCTTTGCACATGGAGGACACCACTCATCAACTCCAGCATGTTTCACGTCAACTTGCACATGGAGATGGAACATGGAACGAGAGTTACTCTCTGTTGATGTTTCATGATGGGTTACACAGAATCATGCTGGTTAATATTATAGGTGCTGGCATCTCAATCAGGGAGGTGGTGCAATATACTGATTATTGAAGCATTGATGAAGCAGCGTGTTAAACATAATGTAAGCAAGGAAGAAACTGCAGGTATTTTATGTCTATTTATGCTGGTGAGTGGAAGGGGGTCCCAGCCGAAAGGGGGTCTATGAGTACGAGCCCCTTGAGACGACGCCAAGCGTAATCCACCAACTCACCAAAATGTCTGTGCAATCATAAACAGGTGAGTAATTAGCCAGTTTAACTAACTAGTGCTCTCCAAGCAGGACATGACTACAGGATCCCAACTGGCCCTATCATCTCCATCACCCCAGAAAGGCCCTATCCAGACACCCAGCTGATTCATCAGATCTGAATATCACTGCGAAAACACAAACACAAATTCTCCCTGTCATAGTTCAGCGGAGAGACGAGTCCTTCGCATCTTAGTTTGTATGTCAGCCTACAAGGTTATGTTGCCGTTTGGCGCCGAACTGCACGACAGGCATCTTTTCTTAACCGACATCGCAAGCACCATCTGCATACGTGAAATCTGCCGCCACTCCTTATCAAAGGATGGAACTCTAAATGGCTCACAGGCTGAGCCGCGGATCAGAGCGATAGAACGCCGCGTGACGGCTGAGCATTCGCTGCTATCTGCAGCACAGACAAAAGGGGTGGGGGGCTTTAATAAGCTATCTGATAAAAATAGATGATTAAACAGGGCTTTTAATAGATTAACCACAAACTGGAGACATAAAAATCGGCTCCTTCTGCTCTGTCACAAGTTTAATGGCAGCTGAGCACCGCCCATTAACGAACAGAACAAGATGAACATTTTCCAGTTCATTAAAGATATGTTCCGTGTATCCCACTCTCCCCACATCACTGTCCATTTTTTTTTCTCCGTTAAACTTGCATTTTCCGTACGAGTCTTTATGGGGAGTGTTAATTACATGATAATGGATAACGGTTATTAAACGTATACGACTTAATGAAGCTCTGTCCTTTCACCAGCCGGGAGAGCGCCAAGTAAAACTGCCGGCTCCGGAGATGAACGGATCAAATTATTATTCAATTTCAGAAACCTCATCCCAAATTCATAGAAACAAGAGAAGATTAAGAACTGAGCGTGGTGACAAAAGCAATGCATTTTAATAACGGTCTTAATCAGACTCGCGGACGATTTGGCACCATAATCGGCTTAAAACGTGATGATTAGTGAAATACACGGTCCCCAGTCGGCAGCCCTGCGTGTCCGCAAAACGCAGCCGCCTCGCGCACATCTACCGCTAACTCTGCATTAAAATCGCCAGGAAACGCAGAGAGACACACGTCAATTTTGCGGTTTCACGTGGTTCCATACGCAAATCCCCCACCATTTCACGTTATTAAAATCCAAAGATTAGAAAAAAAAAAAACTCATATGCAGATATAAAGAATCAAAATCCCGAGCTTACATTTTAATTTTAATCGACAAATAGGAAAAAGTCAAGAAAAAAAAAATCAATACACCTAAATTCTTTTACCAAAAATCTATCACAATCTTTCATTCTCACACTCAAATTAAAACCTAAAATAAATTATCAGCTATAATTTGAAAGCATCCAAAAGTCCACCGTACCAAGCAGTTATTGGAAATGGATGTACGGAAACCACCTCGGGGTAAACTGCCCGTGTATCACTGTGACATTCACATCGATACTCTTCTGGCTATGAAGCATTGTGAGTGGTATTTATAAAGGTTTTGTTGCCTTACTTATAAATATGCATCAAGTGGTACATGACTATAAACAAGGAAACATCAAGACACATTGATGCATTTAGAGTAACCTTTTGGTTATGTTGCTCAGACTTTAACTGAAACCAGCAACCCAAGCTAGTCCCATCTTACCAACTGCATCACTACTGGACCATCTGTTAAGCAAAATAGCAAAATGCGAACAGATACAGAGAGCTACCAAATATGTCTTTGGCCTGGTCTGGGAATTCCTGTCTCTAAGGTTCCAACTTTCCAGTAAAATAAATTATCTAATGTAATACCTTTGCATAACCATTCCTGCACTCCAACTAAAAACTTAATTTGTTACGCCCTGGGCAGGGAAAGTCTGCAAATCCGTACGTACAGTCCTGTTTGAAACTGTACAAGCACATAGCAAAGTCTTTTTCAATGCAGCCATACCTGTGATTGTCGGAATGCTGACCTCCTCCAGTTTGAAAATGCAGTTTTGAAACGTCGGTGATGCAATTTAGACTTCAATTCCCTTCAATTAACTGGTGTTCCAACAGTCTGTCTATAGGCTTTTCACATTCAGTGCTGAAAATCTCCATTACGCCAAAATGGCTGAAGAGTCTTTTTCTCTGACAAGTGAAAGCGATCTTTCCTTTTATTCCACTCAAATGTAATGGAGGAGCCACCATCAGAGGCCTCTTCACAAATGAGGATCTTGATGGACCATTACTGGAGATGTGAAACACTGCAGTCTGGTAACTTGACAAACTCGTCCAGATCAATAGCCACTGCCTCTCTGTCGCACACGACCAGAGCATGAAGGCGATAACAAGCGTCCACATCGCACGTTACGCACTGAATACTGCAAAAGTTACACTTCATTCGGACACGATTCCCACACAAACACACCAAAACTACAGGTACACCCAGTGAAACAAACCTACCGCTGTCACGCTTAAACTACAGCTGAGCAAAACTTTGCATGAGGAAACACCCCCATATGCCAGACAACACATACTGATTGACTGATGATTGACCAAATTATCCTGTTCATGAGTTATTCTTTCCCATAATCTATGACATTAACCAGTTTGGGATGTCAAGACCAGAAAGAAAACCAGGGCTTGGGATGTTAATGTCATCTTACTTAACATTATCGTATCGTAATTCAGCCAGAAATAACCACATAAACAAAAAGAATACATACACTTCTTACGAATTCACTGCTAATACAGACGCACTGCTAATACAAACGCACTGCTAAAATGTAACCATTTACCCAGTGACAGCATTTCTCCCCCCCCCCCCTCACCAAATGTGTTCCTACATTTCTTTATGCATCTTTGTATTTTAAGAACAGTAAGTATCACAACTCCAGTTGTTAATGACAGAAGATGCTGGCAGATATTTCAGTTCATGACAAGGAATCTGTGAAATTCCACGTCTGCTGTGGCCTACGCGTCCTTCAACTTTGAGCCTTACGAAACTCTATGGACTTCTAAACTTTGCATAGCAAGTTAAGAAAACGTTTAACAGGTTTATTCAAATTTACATTCAAAATTTTACTCCTGTCTGAATTGTTTATTTCAGAAACAATATCTGTTACAAATTTTCCTACATATTCCGACTTGGTCGCTGATATAGGTGTCCATACCACAGTGCTGAGTACAGATGCTACTTCACATTTTACCTGAAGAGAGTAATCTTACAGAGTACAGAGCTGGCAGGTCCTTCAGTCCAGGTCATTTTTCACTTCAGGATTGAGCCGGGAATAGGTTCACTGTCGTGAGGAGCTGCAGCATTCGAGTTTATCTTCCTGCAGCACAGAATTCTGGGTCCCCTATCCTGACCCGCCGGCTCCCCCTGGGTCCCGCGGCCGGAAGGTCAGGGCAGCGGAATTGATGCAGTATCGCTTTCCCGTAGGCCGGGGTCCATCGTCAAACACGTGCCCCAGGTGAGCCCCGCACTAGAAGGTGTGAAGGTAGGATCACTTCATTCAGACACATATGCACACACACGTCAATCCAAATCTCAGTGATTCTCATTCCAGGTGTGCTCACTTAGGATGGTACTCACCTGACTGCAGGTGGTTTCCACTCTGCGCATCCCATAGGAGGAGTCGTCAGTCAGAGTGATGGATTCCTCATGAAGCAGATCAAAGAATGACGGCCATCCTGTAGTCACATGGTACGGGTGAGATACGCCAAACGCCTATGATGTCATGTGACGTAATGGTCCTTCCTGTGAAATCTCATATGTGGCTGTCAGAGTGCCCCTAGTGTATGACTCACAGTAATACCCCCTCTGTGACATCATCCTCTGTGACATCATCGATAAGTCTTTGTTATCATCAATATAACCAGTTCTGAGTTCAGAGATGCAGACTGCAACATGCAGTGAAGAAACCTTAATGCAAAGTCACTGTACTCCTCTTTATGCTCATATCTGATGAGAATCGTGTTTTAAATTCTACGAATCTACACAGATACACAGCTTTAAATTGTGCTTACATATGGATTTAATTCACATTATGAACACAAACTGCAATCACATAACCTGGATAGTCTTATTGCAGCGCACGTACAATGCAGATGACTTACACACACACAGACAGACACATATGACACAAATGCTAAAGCGTGCAATGGATTTCCTGTGATCTGACATAAGTTCTGTGGAGTCTCACCTGATCCTGAGTCAAACTTCTTATCGGAGCTGAAATTCAATAAAATTATGCAGCTGAAAAAACTGCACAAAAACAAGCACTGGCCATTCACTGGCCTCCCTCACAAATCTCAAAGTTAATGATCATTAATTAGTAAATAAAATTAAAAGCTGTTGATAGAACATTTAGTGAATCAAAGTGACAGGATCTTGCAAAGTTGAGTGAGCAAATGATATGTTATGAAGACTAATGTGCTCTAAGTGTGAAATGCTGGGGGTGTATTTTGGACTAAAAAAACAATGAGTGCTGCACTCTCTAGGTGGATATCATTAGGGTATGGGGGGGGGGGGGTTACTGAGACCCCAGTGTGGGACCCGTCATACTGAGGTACTTGGTACGAACTTCCTGCAGCCAGTGTGGCTCCAGTATGACCCCTACATATGTCACCCACAGAGTGCCGACACTGACACACTCCTTTCTTGGACACCCACCTGAACAGCGGTGTCCCGCAGACCACGCATGCATATGTACCATCTTCCTTGTGGTCTGTAAACTCTCCTACAAAGGGCCTGTGAAGGAGAAGGGGCAACCAAGAGGTCATCCTCAGCGTGTTGTAAGAGATGGAGATCAGCCTGGGTTTGATTCGCCATGGTCCTCCCAAACCTCCCAGTCTTCTCCAATCAACGGACCCACCTCTCAGTGCCAGCCTCTTGCGTGACGTGGTACTGGATGGGTGTGAGACGTCGCCGGAGCTCCTGCTGGGGGTACTCCAGGGGATAGTTATTCCTGTCTTTGTGCCTCCCTGGGACAAGTGAGAGCGACAGGTGGGGAGCATCACGGAGGCCGAAAGCCAGAAACCGACACCAGTGCCTTTACTTCTGGGTGACATTCTCCAGAAAGTAAGGAAACGGCATTTATAAGCAAAAACCAAGCACAACAGAAGCTCCCCTGTCCGAGTGAAACCCACTTACACTTGCAGAGCTATCAGCTTCAGAATCCTTAGAATCACACTCTCATTTCAGGAGCTCCGAAGATGACTCGTCTCAGTTAGGCCTAACATGCCGATACACTTCAAGTAAACGGAGGTCACAGTACCTAGGGGAGCAACTGAGAGACTGAGGGGTTGAATATGAGGCTGCCAGGTCCTTCTGCTCCACCTAAGCAAAACCCGGAAGGCCAGGAAGCTCGGGCGTCTCAACAATGCAGCCATCCGACCTGCAGCACTCTGTCCGTCACACGGTAGGGACATGAAAACGAAAGAGAGGAAATGCGTTGTGTGTGGACGCCCCCTAGTGGTTGGACTGCTGAAAAGGCAACGCTAGTAAGGCAGCCCTACATGCTAGCTGAATCTGAATAGTCTTTTGACTATCTGAATCGTATTACTCCTAATAAAATAAAACAAAACAAAATATTGTCACAACCGACCAAGACGTGATACTGAATCAATCCCTGGAATGTGTTCTTTGCAAATGCATGTATATAGCTAGAGGTTTCTTACCACGATTTGACGATCTTAGCAATCAAAACAAAGTTTAATATGCGATGCCAGCCATGTTTCAGGTGCTGCACTGAACGAAGCTGGTATCATTGCCTTAATATTTGACATTGACCTTCTTCAGACCCGGTTTTCCATTGTAAAATGACCGAGGTGAAGCCAGTTTTACGTTGGATATTGGACAGATATTCAGATCCACACTCTCCAGACTTAGCGGCGGTGTTTCGCTCACGCTAGCCGGTATAAAGCGGTCGAAAGACGCCCAGTTTAATTCCACGGCCTCGCAGATGATCGCCTACCGCTGATTTAGGGATCGTCAACGAATTACTGCCCAAATTACAAAATACTAATTGCAATAACTTCCATGCCATGGGATCCAATGACTTCAAAATGAATGCATATTGTAGAACCTACTAATTTAACCCTTTATTGTATTTTATAAGATGTTTTAACAGCTTCTAGGCTACGGTAGCCAGTGACCCCGAAATGAGTGGAAATTATGCTGCTACCTAAGCCTCACAGGGCACTGCAACGTTCATGAGTTTTTAACCCTTTGTGCATTTTATATGATTTGTCTGAAGAGTGTGGATCTGAATATCTGTCGAATATCCAACCTAGAATGTCTCAGGGTAGAATAAAACTAACGCATATTGACATACCTACTTGTCAGAATGCGGCTGATTACTGGAATCCGTATGGCAACACAACAATTAAAATACACAGAGGATTTTTATTGCTTCTGAAAAAACCCTTCCGCTTAGCATCTTACTAAATGAACAGCATTCGCCTAGTCGGAGCGCAGAAGCGGACGCCAAGTACAAACCTACGCAGTACATCGATCCGCACAAGCAGACTTTGCATGTCTCACGAAACTAACGATCAGTATTTATCTTTATAGGGTTCTGGAAGACTGAAAAATACTCCAAATCAGCTCACCCACACTTCACAAATACAGCAAGATCACCATGATATGCAGTTTAATGTGTCCGGTATTTTAGCGATTGGCGTCATCTAGTGTATATATACTGCCATTACAGACCAAGATTATTGGTATATTCAACAGAAAGTTGTTCCTAAGGAACATGGCTGACCAGGAAGCAAGGAAGCCATTAAAGTCTCTCAATTCAGATACACCTACTCATGTGAACTTCATGAACAATTCCAGACAAGAGGTCACAGCTTGGTGGCTAAATTTTTCTGGACTCCCTGTATCCTATGGTGACATTCGGCCGGACGGATCCTTGAAGATGAATACGTTTCTCAGTGAGTAGATACCTTCTTCCGCCTTGGTTGACAAAAACCTGAGCAATTGGAAATGAAAAGTGATGTTTCGCTGTTTTGAGTCGTATTAATTAAAGTATAATGTCTTCTGGTTTAAAAGCTCATCCGTGGGTCTTCAGAACACCTGATGGTTATGCAAAACTTCTGGCGGACAGAAAAGAAGTATACTTTCCCACTTTAACAGAGTATGAATACCGATTTCCAGTATATAAAGATGTGATGATAACCTCACCAGGTGGGTAAGATGATCTTGCCATATCTTGTTTTTTTTCGAAAGCAATTATAGCAGATTTTTTTTTACGCAAATGATTTAGCACCGTAGCGAACCAACTCAAAAACGCATTTTAACATGATGTGATTTTTTATCTAGTTTACACCTTACAGGAGTATTGCTGCATGTTGATCCGTAGAAGGGTGAAGAGGGAAGACTTTGACAAACTTGACATTCCTGAATGCCTGAAGAACGATCTTACCAAGACTCCAGATCTATTGAAGGAATTACAGATACTCAGCTTGAGCACAATACAGTGAGGGATACAATGTTACAATGTCTACATTGCACTTCTCTCTTTGGCATATTGTTTAACATGAGGGCCAGTTAATACCGACTTGATATATAACTGGAAGCCAGTCTGGTGCAGGGCACACACAAATTATGGGCAATTTAGAGACTTCAATTCACTAGCTTAAGCTAACTGAAGTACCTTGAGAAAAAACTATGTAATCTCTATACACAAGGTGTGAGCCACTATGTTATTAATGTTCATGTGTATGTTTTATGGTTATTGGAATAACTGGTTATAGAACACTAGAATTCTGCAGAAGACTAGTGAGTCTGAAGACATTATTTAGTGTTCACTGTAATTTTCTATATGGTTGTGAAGGCTGCACAGCTGAAAAACTGAATGAATACATGCTTACAATCCATACAGCAGTTGTTTAAAGTGCAGCATGTATTATATTATTTTAGATAAATATTAATATATGGAGTAATTAGTTATAAGGGTCAGATTACTCATCTACATTTTCAATCATGTTCCTTCCTGTAGTCTGCCTGGGATTCATTTAAACTCCATTTTGCTAACAGCATGCTCGAACATTTAATGTTACTTAACTGGTGCAATAAAATGTATTCTTAGACTTTGAGTTAGACTCATACAGGTTTTGCAGCTATACTTTTATGAGTAAATAAACGGTAAAATGCAGTGCTCTGAATTTTCTTCACCCGTGTCACTGCTCACTGCATCACTGGATAGATGCATGCACTCCTGGGTGAAGAGGAACACCCTCTCTGGTCAGCATGCTGTGTGTGACATCTGATCCCACTGTTGGGCCACAGTACAGGACAAGAACTGTGCGCCTCTCTGTGCTGGTATTTGTAGTTTGTAAACATATGGAGAGTGAATCTGTAGTTTTTATGAATTTTTTTTTTTTGTGTGAGTTGTTTTGGGTTGGCTATGTTAATAATGTTGCCCTAGGTCCATGATGTTACTCATGCTGAGCTTTTGGTTTCTCTTTAAGGACGATTTAATGTCTGATTTTCTCTCTGGTATTCCCCTGAGGTGAGGCCTATAGAAACCGGTGTTTGAGTTGTAAGAGAGAGAGAGAGAGAGAGAGAGAGAGAGAGGGTGGGGACAAAACTTCCAACTTTGATGGGAGGCTGTGACTGGCTCGGATAATTGGGGACTTTCCTTTTCGGTTAATGTTTTTATTTCCCCATTTTAATACTTCTCTACTTGATTAATAGCAATCTAATTTTTATTAAATCTTTTTGGACCTGCGATAGTGTTCGGCCCATTTCACTACCATGCCAGTCAGACCAGAGGGAGATTAAAGTGGTTCTTCTCAGCCATTTTGTAGTTTAACAATGGTAATTAATTTCCACATACAAATATTAAGAGTCACCAGGCAAACACTAAGCAGGGGGGTGTTTTACTTGGTCATAAAACTGAATGGGGAAAATAAGCTGATGACAGCCATCCATCGTCCTTTCATACTACTGATCCGACATAGTAAGACTGGAGGCTCTTCCAGGAAGGGCAGGCCACAAGCTTGAGGATGGCAAGTCCACCCCAGAAGCTTGGAACAGAATAATAATGAGAATCATCCATCCATCCATCCATCTTCTAATCGTTTATCCTGCTCAGGGGTCTGGGGTAATATCATCAACAATGATGACAACAACAATAATATAGATTTAATGTAGATAATGCATAAAGAGCGTATGAAACATGGGTCACGAGAAGAATAATATAACTATACGGCACAAAGGCTCCGCAGGCTGGACACTCCGGTGTGTTTGCTGGCGTCATCTCAGATAATGGACTTTCTCATTGTGTTCCTGAGCAATTTACAATAAACAATACATCTGCATAAAAAGATAAAACATCAATACTGGCTTATATGTCGTCTTGGATAAACGTGTCTTCTAAATTAAGTAATGATTAACGTTCGTCATGGCTAGTCTGATCGATTGTTAAATTCACGTTTCATAATATATCAATTAAACGTCCTTTTATATGCAGTCACATATCCAAGCACACAAATGCAAAACGGATGTTTATATTTTTTGCGCAGCCGCTTCAGATTAAACGCAACCTCATACTTTCCCATTTACCTGACAACTGTACAGTGCAGTTTTTGATTGGCTTGGAATATGTACTTGGGCGTGGTTTACAGGCGAATAGACGTAGCTGCAGTTTACTTTCGGTTTTAGTACCAACTAGATCACGTCTAAGAGTAGTCTGTAGTACTGATTATAGGCGCTGCTGAATTACAGATTTAACTAACAATGAATATCTATCTGGTGGCTGTCGTTCTGGCGCTGGCATTGTGCAGTGTCAACGCTAAAGAATGTAAGTATGGACGTTAAATAATTGTTACAATATTTTCAATTGAGTCGGAAAAGCTTTGAGTATGTCTTCCAGTAGGCCTAGTTGTTAAATTATCGTTGCGTGGTTTGCGGTATTTTGTGGTTCTTTCCGTTTTCACGGTGCATGCTTTCTACTCGTTCAAAATATGTTTTTCAGCGGTTAAATTTTTGTCCACAAAATTATAACCGGCAACCATAAAATTATTCAGGAGTTATCTTTAATTACTGAGCACTTTGTGTTATCAGAGCTTGGGAATTTTTAAATAAAATTCTGTCTGATCGATGGATTATGCGTCCAATAGCCTATATGTTAATCAATATAGCACAATGGCAATGCGTATTAATGATGAAATGATATTAACAAATATTTTTAAAGGAACTCTTCATATGCGCTGGAATGTAATGTATGGCGATGGGTGACTCAGGCGCATATAAATACATTTAAATCATCTTCAGTTACATTCTTAGTGATGTGATTGTTTGTTTCGAGATGGTGGAATTCCCCCTTGACTTGAGTTTCGTTTTCTTGTAATAGGTATCCGTTGCTTAATAGTGCCCTCTGCTGGACAAACTTTTAAATAATCAGCTCAGTTGTGTACACTGACAAATTCATCTGCGTATTGCGTCTGAGATGGCCTCTTTCATACAAAACGTGCACTGCATTGTTTTCTTGAGGGTCAGGTGGACTACGGCCAATGAGTAGTATTCCCTGGATAATGCAGATGAGCTCTTTATGAGGTCATATTCCCTATTTCTTGGTACATTTAAATGTGGCCTTTGTTATTAATTCGTGTTTCTCCAAATCCTGACTTAGACTAGGTAAGGAATTCTGCTGACATCCATTAGGTTGTATTTTGCTCAGATATATAAGATTTATATTGAAAATTATAGATAGAGGAATTGTACCATATATAAACCGGAAGATGCATAGTTAACGATGTATAATGTTAATCAGTTCATATTTAACAAATTGTTCCTATTCTCCAGCCACTATTGGGGACTGAAGATTTACACAAATTGCATCATTATCTTACTTTTTTTATCTAACTTCCATTGGTTATAATGATTTGCGTTCCCCCTTCCTTGTTTCCAGCCCCTCCCAAGGTGCAGGTGTACAGCCGTAACCCTGGGGAATATGGGAAGGGTAACACTCTCATGTGCCACGTGAGCGGATTCCACCCCCCTGACATCACCATCGAGCTGCTGAAGGACAACGTAGAGATCCCCAGCGCCAAACAGACCGACCTGGCTTTCGAGCAGGGCTGGCAGTTCCATCTCACCAAGACGGTGGAATTCACACCAGTCAAGGGCGAGAACTATGTGTGCAGAGTCAGACACCTGTCCAACACCAAAACCTACACCTGGGGTGAGAGAAGCACACACTTATTGGCAGAAATTATTCCGTGAACCATTTCATCTCCCCTATTAAGATGGAGATCATTCAGCACTTCAGGAAGTCTTCGTATCCATGTACTGTGATCTTATGTGTATGTGGGTTATTTAACCATAAGAATCAATCTTTGTGGAAATAATGAATGTAAACACACAATGAGCCATCTTTGTAGTCAGGGGGGCACAAGCATCATATCATACATGAGCTACACCCCAAGTGCTGGGTCAGGCATCATTTGAAAAAAAAAAAGTGAAATTGCACTAGTATATATTGATTGGGAAAGAAGAGCAGGTATCCGGAATGCTCCTCCTTGCAATTACATACGATGGACTTTACAAATAGGATTTAAACTTCTGAAGGCAAGAGAATCCTGCATTTGTTTATTGCTAATATGTATTTTTCTCCTCTGGTCTCTGTATTAAAAAATAATAATGTTTAAAATGTTCCTTTTTCCAGATCCTGATATGTAAGGGTTGGGAGCAGTGTGGTGGATATAGGCAGCAGGTACTTATATATGCTTGTTTACATATGCATTAATTAAATTATTTTTAATCAATCAATTGATCGATCAGTTATTAATCCTGTTAAAAACTGATCAGTTGTTCATATATATGAATTTAACATGAATTATAGTTTTACTGTATACAGTGAGGGAGCAATTAATGTAGCACTGAAGGACCGTGCCATTGTAGTTTTGAGCAAGTTGCTTTTTCTGGTAAATATCCAGCTGAATTACTGAATAGAAACTGTAATTCTAGTCAAGTCAGTGTTCTGCATTTGCTTGGTGACTGGGAAACATCTCAGTTGATTTGCCTGCTTGTCATTCTTCTAGGTACAGTCACATGGGAAGAATGTGCCCAGACATTCTACTTCTGGAATTTTCAGCTTATCAGCAATCAAAGCAAAGCCTTCACCACTGCAGTAACAGGCAATCAGGTCTGCTAGAAAATGAGATGGACATAAAACTGAACTTGGAAAGTAAAAGTCACTGGGTTTTTGCTGTATTTTAATTTACAATGATATTTCTCCTGCTTCTAAAACATATTTAAAATGGCTTCACATCTGCAAACTGCTGCTGGGACTCTTGGATTTTACATTCTTTTCAAACATTAATGTTAATAGAAAACTGGGAAGTTTTTGGGTAACTTAGCAACAATAACAGCTGTTTCTTTTCGATCTTGCAAATTAGGAACTCACCTAAAAGATTAAATACTTTCCTCCATTAAAGAGAGAGATTTTGTTGGATGCTAGCACACCTATTAAAGTATTTGGAATAGAAAGGACGGTGAATATTTGCACTATGTTTGTGAACATTTAATTTTCAAATAAAGTTGTTAAAACTATGACACGTTTCCATTAATTTCTCAGCTTTTGTATCTAGTGTAGAAGGATTCTGTTTATATTAGATAAAAGAATGGGAATGATAATTCTTATAGAAGGTTTACTGTGTGAGGCCCATGATTGATGAAATACACCGTCCACTGCAGACAAGTACTTGGAGAGGTGTAAGGTAACAAAGTAGCCTTCAAATACTTTGTTATTGTACTTAAGTGGGTTTGAACTTTGCAACAAGTTAAAATGCTCAAGCAACTTTTACTTTCACTTTGCTACATTTCTGATCCAAAAACCTACTTTATACTCCAACACATTCTGCATGGCCATTTGCATGCAGTGCATGTAGCAACATTCTCAGTAAAATATGAAGCACGATTTCTGGACGTTTGATACCCAGAATTGATACAGTGATATTCTCTCATGATTATTGAATAATATGGTATATTTCTTTCAATATGATTATTATTATTATTTATTACATATTATCTTTATGAAGATGGAACAAACAATATGTAGTAATGCACGATATATCAGGTAACATACTGAAATTCCTGTCTGATATTTAAGTTTCATCAGTATTCAAAGTTAGCAGCACTAGAGTTACTACTGAAATAATGATGATGACCTCACTGGACAATCAGCCCTTTTCTGCACTGGATGACGAGGGTTTTATTCGGCTCCTTCACTACATCATAGTCTGAAAGTACCGGCCCACAACATGTTTACAAATCATTATTAAATCTGCCCAGTAGATCGATGTTTCATTTTCCACAGACTAAAAAAGTCTCTCCGCTGTTCCGCACCTGCAAGGTCAGCAAGTTTCACCACTTTTTCTGAATTAAAAAAAAAAAAATGCAGCTCAGTTTTCCTTATTGTGCTGGACTGTAACTTATCTGTCAATATTGCAAGGCAGAACTTAAATGTCACCACAACACGACCACAATGCAAACAGAAGACATTCCGTTTTGACAGACTCACCCAATAACGCGAGATTAGCCATGTGCCGTTCAGCTTCTAGGAGTGGCCTATAGTCTGTCTTAACCGTCACTTTGACTTAATTTTTCTTAATTTACTTTCTACAATTCCTGTATGTGAAATCAAAACAAAGCTTAGCACTGTCACATAACCACATCATCTCACCTCATACGGTAAATAAGAACCATATGAAAGGCCTATTGTTTTTGTTGGAAAGTAGTGTGTGTTTTAACTAAGCTTGAACAATACTGGAAAAAATTCACATTGCAATACATGAAGTTTCTGCGATGTCTTGCAGTTGAAAATTAACTACATAGCCAAATAGAACTTATGTATCAACAGAGTCTGTCAAATAAGTTGGTTGAGTTGTGCCATCAAACACAAAGCAATGCTGACAAATCACTTATTTTGCTCAATATTGTCTCTATGAAATGCAAACTATTTCCATACAGCGGAAGACAAATGTTTTTTTGTGACCAGTTCTTGCTCATTTTTCTCCTCTTCACTCATTTTTGTTTAATATAAAAGCACCACACAGTCTACGAGTAGGGTGACCTACCTAAATTATTTTTGTACCAGGTCGGGTCAGGTCAGGTTGGGGAGCATGCGCTGATGCAGCGTGTTGCCACACCCACCACATGGCAAAACTCCTCAGGATGCCGGCCGGTGACCCCCCAGGCAGACACATGGTCCATACCCACCCTCTGGAAATGACCATCCACCTGCCGCAGCCAGGTGTTATATTAGCATCCCATTGGCCTGGTCCAGCTGTCCGGGTCCTCAGCAATGAGGATCCTGCGAGCCGGATCACCCTCAGGGAAACACGCCACATGACTGTAGTGCCGTAACTGATTCAGGTAATGTGCCTCATTCGGGACTCTCTAAGCAACCGCTTGTTCGACACAAAGTCAAACCAGCGGTACCCAAGGATTCTCCGAAGAGACACAGTACCCAAGGAGTCCAGTCTTCATCTCAAGTCACTGGATAGTGTCCATGTCTCACAGCCAAACAGCCAGACAGGGAGCACCAGGACTCTAAAGAATGTCTTTTAAGTGTTGTGAGAATGAATGGAAACATTGCAAAATAGTGAATGCTTTACTGTGCTATTTTTGGAACATGTTGCAGTCCTGAAATACAGGAATGGATGTGCTACATATTAACAAATGAAACGAAGCTGACCAGACAAAACATGAAAAACCGTGGGTTCATACTGTCTGCAATGATATAAAAGTCAATTTCAGAATCACTGCGTTATTTTTACAATCGTATTTTCCATACCACCCCAGCTTTTTCTGATTTTGTGTGTAAGCATTTTAAAACCAGCAAGCTCATATGCTGATCCACGATCAGATTTACCAGCCCCAGTCCTAGAATTAACCTATAGAAACAGGTCTTGGATCTGCCAATGCTTAGAGCAAAACTAGTGAACACTCAACCAATTCAAAAAGCCAATCCACAGATGCTTAATTAAAAATTCACTTCGTGTGATAGGCATTGAATGGTATAAATTGCAGAATGCACTGCATGCTTGATCATAGCATTAACTTTAACCTATACTTGATATAGGGTCGTGACTGAGCTGGCATGGTGAAAATTGGGTCACGGCATAAAAACGGTTATGAGGATTGCTGTGTAGAGAACACATTTTGTTCTTGTTTATTGACATGGCACTCATAAACCTACAATTTTGTTATTTTTCTAAACAACTTATTTCACAGGCAGGCCTGATTCAATTAACTGACACCGTGGTTTATTCATAGTCCAATTTTTAAAATGTTATGCCAGTTTTGTACTTTGTGTATGGCTTCACATTTTGCTATTAATTGTTCAAAAAAAAAAAAAAAACTGGAAAGCTACTGACTTGGCTGCTAACTAAATTTTACTTGATAGAAAACTTCAGAGAAATAAGAAGGAAAACGTCAAACATCAGCATCGCTACCCGACATGAAAGAAATTTTAGACTTATTTCCATCACTATATTTAAGGCTTATAAAAATCATTTGGCAATATGTAACATTAGCTAGGTAATTTACATTGGCGTGTACAAGGCGCAGGTGGGGGTTTATTCAACACCATCACGCAAACACAGGCTTTTGGTGAAGCCTAGCGCTCAACAGGGCAAAAAGAGGGAGAACCTGAAGATCTATATTCTGCCTGTTAACAGCAGATAGAATATTGCGATTGGCTGTGAGATAGAGAGGAGGGGGAGCCGCGCTGAGAAGTGAAGCGCCGCTACGGCTCACTTTCGGTTCATTACCCCCAAAATATCCCCACTAAAGACTTTGTCTTTATTTGTCTACAACAAAGTGAAGATTTAAGGTCGAAAATGACGCGACTTCTGATCGCTCTCGTGATCGGCGTGGTACTGCTCTTCGCGGATGCAAAAGAATGTAAGAATATTATGTATTTATTATATAGGTTTGGCACTTGTTTTTTGTTTCACGATACCGTATAAATTTCAGGTACAGCGGATAATTATGGGAGTCGTCTCACGACGGGCTGATTTAGAAAATAGAAAATAGTCACTTAACAATGTTCTGCTTATATTTCACAACGTCGTAATAGGCCTTTTGATTATTGTGAATGAAAACTGATCCATTAGAATTTTATTTCAGGATTCTGCGAAATTTTGTGTTAAATCTTGGAAACTATTTTGTTGAGTTTCGGTTTAATGTAAATTATAGTGGAACAGCAAGCAACTTGCTGCGTTATATTCAAGATCATATGTTGGTAACAAGGAAGTGCGTTGTTGTGGAGGGTACAGTAGACACTGAGTCTTCAACATACTGGACACCCCGCCAGGACAGGAACAAAAACAACAGCCAAATATACTCAGTTTTGCTTGTAAGGACTTACTTTCACACTTTACTGGTTTTTTCTACGATTTCGTGGAAGAAATTTGAGTGAAATTTTTGAAAACACCAGTATACTGTACTTATGTTTGTTAAATTCCTTTATATATATTATTAAGCTTGAATTATTTGTTTGCATGAATATACATACAAATAAGTAGTTTTAAAAAATTAATAAACAGGAAAAAAATAGTGAGAACTTCCATTTCAACTAAAATTAGAATTCCAGTTAAAGAATGATCTGTATTTATGATCTGATTTCAGTTTTAATCAGGGATTCTCAGCTTGTCCTGTACACAGACAGGGCTGTCAGTGGTTTTCCATCCATCCATCCACTTTCCATACCCGCTTGTCCTATGTGGGGTCGTGGGGTCCGTACCTTCTCCCGGATATAACAGGCGCAAGGCAGAGTAACCGAGTATGCCCTGCGGTAGGTTGGCGTGTGTTCCCGGGTTAAATGTTTCGACTGAGGACAAAAAACCCAAGTCCATGGTATAAATTGCATTTTCCTCAAAATGTTTGCAATAACTCAGTTTTGACGGTGTTGACCCTTGACTTTGATTATTATTTAATCGGAAAGTAATAACCTGTATCAGTGAGTAAAAGGTTTGAAGTTTAAGGCCCAAGAGAGACCTGTTGATGTAACTTTATAGACGGGGCTGTTTCAAGTATAAATATCTAAACCTCTAAATGGTTTGAAGAGCGACGCTGATGCCTCTTTTGGGCTGGATTTTTCTTCATATCCGGACTGTATTGTTTACTGACTGCCCTAATAGTGGAAAACGTGCTGTAATGCTGTCAAGAGACATCTGACAGAATATATGGCAGCCTGTGATTGGCTGTAAGAAAATAAAAGTGAAATGTTACAGGGCCCTCAACTGGGTGAGCCTGCATCGAATGTCAACGTCCTGGCGGCTGGGGAAGCAGCGGGGAAATCTGCAAAAACTAGAGAAAAGCTAATAATAATAATAATAATAATAGAATTAATATCCTCCCCCTCCCCTGTTTCCCTGCCCCTCACAGCCCCTCCCAAGGTGCAGGTGTACAGCCGTAACCCTGGGGAATATGGCAAGGGTAACACTCTCATCTGCCACGTGAGCGGATTCCACCCCCCTGACATCACCATCGAGCTGCTGAAGGACAACGTAGAGATCCCCAGTGCCAAACAGACCGACCTGGCTTTCGAGCAGGGCTGGCAGTTCCATCTCACCAAGACGGTGGAATTCACACCAGTCAAGGGCGAGAACTACGTGTGCAGAGTCAGACACCTGTCCAACACCAAAACCTACACCTGGGGTGAGAGAAGCACACACTTATTGGCAGAAATTATTCCGTGAACCATTTCATCTCCCCTATTAAGATGGAGATCATTCAGTACTGCAGGAACCCTTCATATCCGTGTACTGTGATCTTATGTGTATATACTGGGTTATATAACCATAAGAATCATTATGGGTGGGAATGGTAAAAAGCCACTTGTCTGCAGACTGACCAATGAACAATTTAGAAAGTGGCTCGACTGAGTTTATGAACTGGTGGGTTTTTTTTTTTTGCATTAGTGAAGCTGCAGCAAATGTATTAAATGTTTTTTCCTTTTCTCAGATCCTGATATGTAGAAATTTGTAGAAGAATAACGTTGGTAAGTCATCTTTATATTAAACTCAAATTCCATACATTGCGATTAATCGATGATTTATTGAATGTTATTTGGATTATTGTTTGCGCCAAAGCTATAAAGCACAAGTTCAGTCTCAGTTCAGCCGTGTTCCGCCCCGGTCTGGCGTGCTCTTTGCATTTTGTGTTGCTTTCCTAACCACTTGCACTAATTATCTATTTTATTATATCTGTTATAGTTATTTGTTACTTTGTTAGATTTATTTTGTTATTCTGTTTTTGCACTATTACTACTGTTCTTTTTAAGCTCTTTACTGTCTCATCTTTATTCCTCTTGTTGCACTGAGCATGTTTAAGATGAAAGAATTTCCCTCTAGATAAATAAAGTTCTTCTTATGTTATGTTATCTTATTTTATCTTACCACATCCTGGAGCAATTGAAATCAGCTATTGAAAATTCTGTGACTTGTAAAGATGTGTTGAATAATCATTCATCTGTTCAGCAGTAGTGATGATTTTATAACAGCGGAGTTGATGCCTCCATTTTCCCCAACAGGATGCAGCCTCAGATGTTCCCAGCAGCAATGAAAATATCAGGATTACATTAACCAATCACTGCAGGACAGAAATCCCTGCTCCGGCAACAAACCAGATCTCAGATCAGACCAGATAAGATGTTGTATTCTCATCAGTTTTAATTTAAATGATTGCTAATAAAGTGCATCACAACTTTTGTAAATCAGTAATCTTGCACTGTAACATTTTTGTTACACATGACTATTCGATGGGTGACAGAATTGGAATATAACACTGTACCTACTTTTATAGGTTAAACTGAATATATTATTTACATTGAGGCAACTACAAATATTTTGTGTGATCGATTAGTTAAAACATTGTAATACCAGCCACCCAAAAGACAGTGAGGTGTTGTCATTATTAAATTGGGGTCTTCTACAAATAAAATTACATATTGCTTTGTATTTGAAGTCTGAATCTATATGGCTGGCTAACAGTGGTTTTTTCTCACTTTTAATGCTACATAATTAAGCTTTGTGATTAGTGTTTGTATGTTAGTATAGCTTAGCTGACTAATGTTATAGAGTTACCATATAACTACAGATATGTTGTTTGTTGATTTATGTTTGCCTATTGCTTTGTACTGAGCATTTCTTTACGGTTTTCCATTATCCGGGATAAAAATCATGTAAGAAACCTACGTCTTTGGAGCTGAAGCTAGTGTGCAAAAGATATGAAGTGTACTGCAATATTCACATGACAGGAGAAATGAAAAGCTCTGAAGTGGAGTATTATTTGGTGAACTTTAAAGCACACACCAATATCATTGCATACTTGCTATAGAAAGAGTAAAAACCAAAATCATTACAAATTACAACTTCTGATTAAATGTAATGAAATCATAAATGTAATGTAATGTTTCTTTGTAATAAGATAAAAACCTGTCTACTGGTTTCACAATAAAAATCAGAAAAACTGAAACTGGCTTTCGAAATTATTTTCTATAGTATTATGAGAACTGCTGGTTGCTCTCTCTGTACAGTGTGCCGTGTGCACCCTTCGATGGTTGGTTGGTTGCCTCGTGCCAGTTGCAATGTATTGTATGTATAACGTCATATACACATTATATATCATATTATATATAAATATACACATACATACAGACACGAATCGTCAAATTAATCAATAGATAACTCGGTTATTGATATAACCGATATTGACAGCTCTAGCCCTTTTTACTTCATTTAAAAAATAAAAAAAAAAAACAGGATTCTTTTTTAACTTTAACTTGAGTAGCATGACGCATACTTGACTAGCGTTTTGGTGTGGTATCTGTACTTAAGTATGAAAACGTAATAGTTCTTCCATATCTGTTTGAAGCGTGAAAAGTAGAGTTGTAACTACGATTAACTTTGTAACTTTTTCAAATAAATCTAACAAACGAAGGTAAATTCTATCTCTAGGCACTCACCATATATGTTCAATCAAAAAGGCAGGGACTTTTGAAAGATTATCAATCTAAAAATATCAAACGCAATTGCGGAGTTCCCCTTTTCGGTTTCATTATCATTAAGAGATCAGTATTGCCCTTTGCTGGCTGAAAAGTGTAACGCATGCTAAAGCATAACGACCTTGCACTTCTGTTTGGGAGGAAGATTTCCGTACACGAGTCTTTATTATAATGATCATTACATGTAGAAATAGACTATATGGACACAACAGCTACACAATTCAACCCCCCCCAACAGCAGAGATAGCACAGTTGGCTACATACTTGACAGCACATCACCACAGAGGTTCACGTCAGACCCAAACCAAGTATTATTTTGTCAAAATAAGCGCAAAGTTATCGTCCAAGACATAAGTTCGTCTGTTCTCTAACAGATTTAAATTTTATCCAGAAGAGTCGAAATTAGTCACAGTTGGCACTGCTTCCTTATACACGTAGATTACGTTGGTAAAGTTAGTTTGCCGTTCGTTTTTCACGTTGCAAACGGCCATAAAAACCTTATATATGCACGAAAAAATACGAATTATGGCTCCTTGTGATAGTCCTTTTGTGTGAATTCAGAAAATATAAATACATTGCGTAAAAACAGCCTTTAATGTATTTTGACCAGTTATTTTCATTAGCTTCTCACGTCAAAACCAGACGTGCGCATGACTCAAAAAGCGTCTCATATTAAACATCCTGATTTGTGAAAAATTTCACAACTGATAATTTGTCCAT